CGTAGCGCTAACCGACAGCCTTCCAACTTGGAAGGTTCAAGGTTATGGAAAGACCAAAGAGGGGAAGGCAAGCGCAACGAATGTTACAGTGATGGAGAGTTACTCTTAACTCGTATCCATATGTCCTTTTCTCTTCTACATTTATTTATGGCTCAACATCCGAGTTTCATATTGCACACCTGATGAGCCGTCACGAACCATACGGCGAAACGTACGTCGTGTGAAACAACTTGTTTTGTAGTCAACTAGTCCATCACAATGTCATGCATGAGGAGTACTGTAGGAGTTTGGCTTTCGGCTTGTACAATTCGTTTTCGCAAAGCTTCCCTTTCTTTACTTATCTTTGATATTTATGACCCACCCAAGTTGGGTGGTGTGCTGCTTTGCTGCTTCGAATTGTAGTTAGACCGCTTTGTCAAATATCGTACTGGTCTCGTCATCGTCCAGTAACAATCGACATTCTTTGTTCCGTTGGGACTGTAGCTTTTGCTCGTTTTCGTTGCGCTTGCCTTCCCCTCTTTGGTCTTTCCATAACCTTGAACCTTCCAAGTTGGAAGGCTGTCGGTTAGCGCTACGGAGATGTGTTGAAGCTAGGTGTCAGGACGTCGAATGTTTCAGTACTCTGTCAGTTTTGTGCCTAGTTATTGCACTTTCTGACTGTATAAAGTATCATGTTACAGTGATGGAGAGTTACTCTTAACTCGTATCCATATGTCCTTTTCTCTTCTACATTTATTTATGGCTCAACATCCGAGTTTAATAATAATAATAATAATAATAAGAGATGTTTAAACTAAACTAAACTGATACTTGGAACAATAAAGCAGCAGTAAGCAGTAAGCAGTAAACACAGGTATACAATACCGGCGATGCAGATCAATGAGGGCGTTTGCTGAAAAGAAGATCAAAATACTTCTGAAAAGACGCTGCGTCTTGTAGCATGGTCTGAAGGTTAGCAAATGTAGTGCGGTACTGGGTGCGCCACTCCACAGGTAAAGAATTAAAGAACACTGCAGCACGATTTGAAAAGGAATGTAATCGGAACAAGACTCTCGGAAGGTAGCGGCAGCAGGCATCCCTTGGTGGACAATGGCGGCAGAAAAATCGGCAGAACGTGGTACATTTTCCTGTGTGTTTCGGGAATGGTTTGTAGGTGGATGAAGAATTTTGTTTAACTCCAGCCAATATGACCACACTGTACTACAGTATTGTTAGACATGGTGAAGTTGCCATGCAGGGGTGCAGAGGTGGTGATATACAGCTCGCTCGACTGCCTCTAGTGCTGAGAGCAGCTCTACTGAGTGAAGAGGACGGCCCGACCCACACCTAGATCTGGTGAGCTGCTTCATGGGGATTTGCAGTCAGATGTGCGACCGCGGGGCTGGAACCCGCGACCTCTCGGTGCGCAGGCAAGTGCAGTACGTGATGAAGAAATGGACCACATTCAAGGAAGTGTATGATTCCGAAAATTTCACAGCTTTCCGAGCATTCTCCGCCAAGTCAAGGGCTAACCTAGCAGTATGGTGAGCAAGAACGCAGCTCCAGAGTGAGATGATTCCAGCGAAGAGCGTATGTAACAGATGAGGCGTTCAGGCTATGGAAACGCTTCACTATGTGCGGGATCGACGGGCACCGCTAGACCAGTAAAATTAATGTGGGTGGACTTGTTGAAGCCATCAATGGACCTGAGCCGAGCGCTGTCACGATGTACATCGGTTGAAATGGACATGCACGTGGCTGACCGACGGGGAACAGGGAAGGGACCATAACCATAACAAGGGTGCATGCGGGAACGGCGTTTTTGCTCTTGCTGCCGTTGTTGCCAGTCAAAACACATGAGCACAGGTCTGGAGGTCAGAAGGCCAGTGCAGTGCGAGCCGAGTGGTTTACTTGTACAATCATGTAGTTACAGCAAGCCGAGCACTGCACGTTTTTCTCCGACGCCCACGTTCTCGCAGAGGCTTGTATTTGTACTCCAGTCAACTTCGCTTATAACGACACTCGGCGGGGCATGTTGTCGTTGTTTTCTTTATTTGAATTCGCTAAACCCAAACGGACAGAACTGTCCAGTGACAAGGGAGCGAATGATGAGCGTCATAATCACTATGCATCAAAACATCTCAGGGCAAAATAAGACAGACTATATTAAAGGAGGGTTTGCACAACACTTGTACATAAAGGGGAGTACGAGAACAAAGGCGCGGCAGAAGTCGAAGCAAGAAAGCAATCAACGCCAGAGATGTTTTTGTCCACCAAAAACAGAGAGAGAGATAGATAGATAGATAGAGAGAGAGAGAGAGAGAGAGAGAGAGAGAGAGAGAGAGAGAGAGAGAGAGAGAGAGAGAGAGAGAGAGAGAGAGAGAGAGAGAGAGAGAGAGAGAGAGAGAGAGAGAGAGAGAGAGAGAGAGAGAGAGAGAGAGAGAGAGAGAGAGAGAGAGAGAGAGAGAGAGAGAGAGAGAGAGAGAGAGAGAGAGAGAGAGAGAGAGAGAGAGAGAGAGAGAGAGAGAGAGAGAGAGAGAGAGAGAGAGAGAGAGAGAGAGAGAGAGAGAGAGAGGGAGAGAGAGAGAGAGAGAGAGAGAGAGAGAGAGAGAGAGAGAGAGAGAGAGAGAGAGAGAGAGAGGAGAGAGAGAGAGAGAGAGAGAGAGAGAGAGAGGCAGAGAGAGAGAGAGAGAGAAGAGAGAGAGAGAGAGAGAGAGACAGAGAGAAAGAGACAGAGAGACAGAGACAGAGACAGAGAGACAGAGAGACAGAGAGACAGAGAGACAGAGAGGACAGAAGTCTCATTATAATTATTATGTACTACACTTGGATGGAACTTTGCTCTGGGCATGGACATTCTGTCGTTATTCGCGAATTGTCGTTATATCCGCAGTCGTTATTCGCGAATTGTCGTTATATCCGCAGTCGTTATTAGCGAAGTTGACTGGACATGTATAGAAGAAATCTAAATCAAACCAAGGTTACAGCAAGCTCTCCATGAACGGGAGTCAGTTCACACGAGCAATGACTACCGAGGTTACGTTACAAGAGCCACGATGGACAGCGAGCAGCGTCGTCCTAGCTAGAACCTACCTGCAGAGATCAACCGAAATCACGAGATCATTCGCTGCCCATTCCCATTACGACATCATCTGTCCGCATGTAATGACTTTCACTGTTTCAGCAAAGTCATGTAGATTTACGATGATTATGGTTGTAATGGATCGCTCGCTCCACCCATACATCATCTCCAGTCATTTGGATCCCACATCCGCGGGATGATCCCCTACTGTACTAATGTCGATGTCGTGGACATAGAAGTCCGGTCGCACATTTAGCGGCACCAGGGCGCCGTGGGTAACTACTAAGCAGTCCAGTAGACCTACACTAGGCTACACTGTATACTAGTATAGGCTACATGATGCATGACATAATTGCGCTGCATCGCCCTGTACTGGTCGTATCGGATCAACATGCAGATGTCCATGGCTGTGCACTGTTCTGTACGCGCTGAGGGCGTCAGCCTTAAAGGGGAAGTATACCCTAAAATCAAATTTTCACCAGTTGTAGTCTTCTGGGTGCTGAGTCGAATGGTCTTGGTCCGAGGAAGCTGCGACGCTCCTTCCTACTTGAATCCCAATCGAACTCGCGCACTTCCACCGAAACTGGGTGACTGCGCCCTACTAGATGGGGATTTGTATGCAAAATGTCACTAAAAGCGCCATTTCGTTCTTATAAAAGCACGGATGACCGCGATTGGCCCATATGTTGTAGTCTTTTGGACGCTGAGTCGACTGGATTTGGTCCGAAAAGGCTGCGATGCAGCGTTCCTCCTTTATTCCCAATCGAACATGGTTGAACAAGCGGTCACGTGCTCCTGGGTGCCCAAATCACCTGGTCACCGCGCCAGCAGGTGACAACTTTCACACCAAGGTTCAACTCGAGTTCAACTCGAGTGACAGGACTGCACCCAAAAAGGTCAAACAGGCTAGTAAGTTGTACCCTGCAGGCACGGTGACCAGCTGACTGGTGTACGCAGGAGCACGTGACCGCTTGTTCAATTTTCGGACCAAAACCAGTCGACTCAGCGTCCAAAAGACTACAACATATGGGCCAATCGCGGTCATCCGTGCTTTTATAAGAACGAAATGGCGCTTTTAGTGACATTTTGCATACAAATCCCCATCTAGTAGGGCGCAGTCACCCAGTTTCGGTGGAAGTGCGCGAGTTCGATTGGGATTCAAGTAGGAAGGGAGCGTCGCAGCTTCCTCGGACCAAGACCATTCGACTCAGCACCCAGAAGACTACAACTGGTGAAAATTTGATTTTAGGGTATACTTCCCCTTTAAGCTGTGTTCACAACTGGCGCGTGTACGCGTGAAACCACGCGTTTGTGCGTATTTTTGCTGGCTTTAGGGGCGCCATGCGTACGGAAACGCGCCGAAATGGAACTTCCAACATGTTGGAATTTTCAGCGCGTATCAGGCACATATCGGCGTACATGCCAGTCACTTTGACTGGCGGGGTCAAAAAATTAGTACTCGAAGGTGTCGCCCGTGCTAAATACGACTCGGATTGCTGTTTTTTGTGAAAGGCTGAGCGCGCGTTTGGGGGCGCATGAACCGCAAGCGTACCGCGTCCACGCGCCAGTTGTGAACACAGCTTAAGCCCCGGTGGCGGTCTGGTCCTCTGGATTTCCATGTGCACATTATAATTCATGGTGACATGGTCCACGACAGTAGTAGTACTAGTAGTACTCTGACCTTTGCTCAGTGCAGCACGTGCTCGCATTGGCTTGACCTAACACAGTAGATCTACTAGCAGACATCATGATTCATCGGCATGGAGCCAAGAAAAGTGTCTATTGTTGCAGTGACAAGTTCAAGTCTGCATCGGATGAAGGCCGCGTGCTGCCCCCGAAGGAGGACTAGCTCGGCGCATGCCATGACCATGAATGACCCTCCGAGATCATGCGAGATACCGGGGACCGCACAGAAAGAACAGGATTTGAAGCCAGCCGGCGCAGAAGACATGGAAATCTGCGGCATCGTAAGATCCCAGTCTTCCCAGAACAAAAGGCTTCGCCTGCGAAGCTCCACCTACTACTGTACTGGCAGTCAGATACCGTATTGTAAGTAAGGCCAGCATCGAAAACATTTTTTTATCATCTACCCGCCGAGTTGGTGAGGGAAGAAGGCGTCCTTGATTTGTTTGTTCTTTTTCTTACCACTGGAAACGGATTGTCTGAAGCGTGAGTATCGTAGTCAAAGTCGTTCATGATGAATCGCGACGCTCAGGCGTTGCTGGATGACCTAGGGCTAACACACCAGCATATCACGTTCCTAGGTGACGTTGAGGTGAGAGACGAAGACGAAATCGGCAGAGGATCGGATGCAGTTGTCTACAAGGTAAACTGGCAAGGTATCGATATCGCTCTCAAAGTTTTACACCCCGTGTTGGTTGAGCCAGGTGTACAGGATAGAGAGCGTAAGCTCAGAGCGTTTGGCCAAGAGGTGTTTCGTCTTAGCAGAGTACATCACCCGAACCTGTGTCAACTGATAGGATTAGCTCGGGTAAGGGGAAATGCTGCGTTGGCCCTGGAGTTATTGTCGGCGTCTCTAGAAGACGTTAGCATTGGAGATGGCAGAGAAGATGCTCCTAAGCTCGTGTCGTATCTCTGCGACGCTAGTGCAGGACTTCGCTATCTGCATTCATTCGGAATCATTCACCGCGATCTAGCGCCCAAGAATGTGCTTGTGAAAAATGGCACGGCCAAAGTCAGTGATTTCGGCGGTGCTAAATTTGTGCGCTTGACCTCAACTCGACAACAACAGCACCAAGTCCAATCGGCAATGGAGATGACTCGCTGCCCAGGTACACTGCCATTCATGGCACCTGAGGCGTTGCGTGAGGCTCCGGATTACGATCGTCCCTTGGACGTGTTTTCGCTAGGTGTAATGATGCTGAGCGTTCTAACAGGAGTTATGCCTGGCATCGAGTTGATCACTGCGCCACATTTCGTCGTCGTGCGAGAACGTGGCCAAGAAGTTGAAGAAGTGATACCGGAGACAACACGCAGAGCACGCTACCTAGCACGTTTGCCGGATGAACATCCATTGAAGCCATTGATACGCCGCTGTCTCTCTAACCGTCCTGGGGACCGACCGTCAGCCGAGCAAGCGCACGAAGAGATCAAACGTTTCTTGGCCATGTTCAACAGTATTTTGCCGGTGAGCAATTATTTTGTTGTTTGTAATCGAATGTGACCTAAGGCTGCATTCACACACCGTACAAAAATTCGCGTTTACGTGACCGTACAAGCCACTTGCAACGCCTGTGCATTCACACAGTCAAATGCAGCGCATGCCGAACACGTAAAGTGACCCGTGTGACCCATGGCGAAGAGCGGGAATTTTGATTTCTGCATGAGCTGAGCGCACCGGTACAGACTACAGTACGGCACTTGGCTCAACATTTCAATAATACTATTTCTTGGTGCGCTAGTATGATCTCGGTGGAACGCCTCCACAACTGGTGTATTCCTCTGAGTGTGCTGGAGTTGTAAACGATCGCGGCGGTGTATATCATTTCCTGATCACCTCCGGATTGCTGCTTTGCGCACAGATTCAGCTCATCTGCAATCCTCTTCTCGGCAACAGCTCTTTTCATCATTGTTCCACTTTGCTGGTATTTTCTCCATAGACTATAGTTCTATCAGCCGTAGCTCCACCTCGGCAGAAAAGACAACTCGAGGCATGGTACGGACTCTCCAAAAACTAACAAAAACTCCGCGCACTCAACACACCAAACCACTCGTTTCGACTTGCCTGAAAACTAAAAGTCGAAATCCGCTTTCAAAGCCGCCTTCAAAGCCGCTCCGGGATGGCTTTGAACGTTGATGTGATTGTTCACTTTTCGCGCATGTTTCCATGCCCACTTCAAAGAACATGATGCTTGTATGCGGTCTTGTACCGTGTGTGAATGTAACCTAAACGTTTATTTCATGACTACATCTACGTGTACTGTCGTAGACATGGAAATCCGGTCGCACGTCTAGCGGCCCCAAGGCGCTGGCCATGCAGCCGTGGGTAAGCAGTACACACACACACACACACACACACACACACACACATGGATGACCTTGTATTTCACGCTGCAGCGCGCTGGTCGCATCAAGCGCTGTTCTGTACGCGCTGAGGGCACCGGCCCCGTCAATCGACTGGATTTCCGTGTCCACGACAGCAATATGAACTGCAAAGAAAAAGTCACATACTGTAATATATATATATATATATAACGAAGTGCTAACTCTAACGAGTTAACGAGGAGAAATCTGTCGTTAAAATAGAAATCGTTATACAGAAATCGATACATTATACTGTACTATTGAGCGTTGAGAATGAGTGAAAATCGTTACTTTTGGTACACGTAAACTAGTCAATTTTGGGAAATCGTTATATATGCGCCTCGTTAGAATAATAGCTTTTACAGTCCTCACGAATGCTTTTTTTACATACCCATTCACTGTCAGTGTGTATGCTAGGTAAAATGAATGCATTAAACTTGAAGGTCTTCATACAGTGTACATGTATGTGTTCCGCACAATCTGAGAATTTGCGCAATCTACAGATCGCGCGGCGCAATCTGAGAATTCCAGGTAGCCTGCTCACACTGTAGATTGCGACGGCAGTTCCGCGCAATCTGGGAATTTGCGCAATCTGAGAATTGCCAAATTGCTCAGACCAGGCACAGTAAAACTGCGTGCCTGGGCTTCTGCGAGACTTCTGTGAGCACACCCAAGTACGTGTGGTGCAAAATTCCAGTGTGTGGATCGTGCAATTTGTTGATTTCTCTCAAAATCTGAAGAGCACAGCGAATTCATGTGGGGCGCAGTCTGCGAGTGCAATCTGTGGATTTCGTTGAAAATCAAGGAGACCACAGCGAATCCGTGTGGGGCGCAAGCTGTGGCCCGAGTTCCCCGAAGAAGAAAAACTCAAGGAGCGCAGCGAATCCATGAGGGGCGCAATCTGTGGGCACAATCTGTGGATTTCTTTGAAAAAAACTTGAAGAGCACAGCGAATCCGTTTTCAGCGAAATCGGGCCACAGATTGCCGCCACACAGATTCATTGTGCTCTTCATGATTTTCAACGAAATCCAATGATTGCACCCACAGACTGCGCTCCACATGAATTTGCTGTGCCTTTCAGGTTTTGAGAGAAATCCACAGATTGCACGAACGGCGCACGTGAGTTTTTCACCACACGTACTTGGGTACCGCTTTTGCTCCCAGAAGTCTCGCAGAAGCTCAGTCTCGTGCCACAAATATTACTGTGTCACCGCAGATTGCGCGGGAAATCTGGGAAATCTCAGATTGCGCGGAACATATGTATACACGGGAGTCTAGTACATGTACTGCTGCTCATGTATTGTGCCTGATATGCAACAAACTTTGAGACGAGTCCAAACACACATTGATGTACATTGAGTTTCTTTTCACTGCCAGCTGACTGCTCAAGTGACAAGGCACTCAATGCCAGGCTGTCAGCTGTGCACTGCCCCAGCGCCAGGCGCTTTTTACGTCCAGTTCAAAAAATCGAAAAGCCAGCTTTTCCTGTATTTTTTGGTACTTTCTGGACGGAATATCGCTTTCTCAGGCTGTCATGACACCATGGTACAAAGCGCTGCATCTACGTCCACGTAAGGAGTTTTGGTCGGTTGTCATGATGATTCGTATACGGGGTGAAAACGGGAGCAGAGGAAACGGGAGACGTAGACGTGGTATGGAGAGGGGGATACGGGTATACGACTTTTTGTATGAACGTGCGTATCTCCCCCAGCCTTTTCCGAGCGACCCTGTATTTCGATGTACGTGGGTTCAAATTTCTCCAAAAACCTGACTGCGTAAACACGTCAAAAACTGTGCCTGTCTGGTGACACGACCACCCATTTTGTTTTCTCACAATAGACGTAGACGTAAACGGGAGTCGGAGAACGTAGTGTGATGACGGCCTGAATTATACATCGTAGGTAGCCAACTGATAAAGGAAGCCATTGCCCTCGAAAAATATCGCAAAATCCGAAGGACAAGCGCGCTGAGCGTTCTAGCGCCAGCCGCTGTGCAGCAAGTCATGTGATCATGTAATGCGAAAGTGCGCCACGCGCCGCATGCACTACATACAGTAGAGTCAACTTTGCGGATAACGACACTCGGCGGGGCATCAGAAAAGTGTCCTTATTCGCCAAGTGTCGTTATAACCGAAGTCTTATTATCCATGTATGTATTACAGTTGGATGGGACTTTGCTCTGGGCATGGAAATTCTGTCATTATTCGCGAATTGTCGTTCTATCCGCAGTCGTTATTAGCGAATTGTCGTTCTATCCGCAGTCGTTATTAGCGAATTGTCGTTCTATCCGCAGTCGTTATTAGCGAATTGTCGTTCTATCCGCAGTCGTTATTAGCGAAGTTGACTGAACATGTATACCATACGGCCCGGCCAGTTGCGAAGTAAAGACATTAAGTTAGTTGTTGTTTTGGAGAGAGAAGCAAATCCTGTTTTTCGTTCGGTTTGATTGAAAGATCTGCAAGTGGACCGGAGGGCTACAACACTTGAAACAGAAAAAAGTGCTTGCTGAAACTTCCCTGTCTTCGTGGCAACAGGACTTCAGTTTGCGAGAGACTTTCGTCCTGTCGCTGCGGAAGCAATTCTTGTTGTTTGCAGAAAGCTTGGGGAACGATTGCGAGTCGTTTCGTGAAGGGGGTCGTGTCGCTGAACAGCCGCTGATATTTCTGCCAACATAGTGGTCCTTTGTTCTCCTGATTGTCAGCAGTCCACGCACATTTCTTCAACGTCGGAGAATGAAGCGCTTCCCTGTTCCGTTGACAAGCGCTTTGTTCGCGGTATCACTTCCGCACCAGCTTGCAGTAGATCGTCAGGTATTGAGGTGGGTGTCGTTGCGGAAAGAATAATATTATTACACTTGTAGCTGACACATCTGTAGTGTCCCTTGACCGTGCTGGTTGCCATTGCAACGTTTTAGTTCTCAGGAAAATTTAGTTCTGGACCCGGCGAGCGCCGCCAGCGCTTTTTCCGTCAAGTTTGTGCATAGCTGCATCCAAAATGCGTTCGTGAGGAATCCGTCGTTTGGTTCTCTACCCGTGACTCCAACCGCCTGTCGCAATGGATAGCCGCCTGGAGTCTTGGGTAATTGCTATAGTGCGTTTCAAAAGTCCAGAATTCTGGTTTCAAAAAGCCGTTAGGCCAGCATCTATCCCACATAAAATCTATGATCACTTTGTGCATAACATTTTCGAAATTGCGCGTCTGTTATCCAATCGCTTAGAAATTTATACAAGTATGAGAAAAATTGCGTGAGCTGCCTGAGCAATATTCCGAAGAAATTTTACAATAAGCTCAAACCTAATTTGAATTTTTTGAAAAGTCTAGAGGTCTATACTTTTGAAACACACTATAGCCATCAAGTCTAAACCAAATTCCATGCTCCATGCAATGAAAGTTGACGGGAAATAGAAATAATTATATTCTCACCAACTCGGTGAGGTGGTAGTGCGTGGGAACCGTATTTTTTAGCGCCGCTCGGCTAAAACTCAGATACACATTTTCAACGACGCTGGTTCGATTTTTTTAATGGCAACCCCTATTCCTGGCAGCGTATTTCAATGGATATGGACCTCTTCCAGGGCCCAGTAACCCTCTATGGCAGCTAAACATCTCCAATATCCCAAAATAGTGGCCCAAACTGGGCGAAGTCAGCCTGTCGACTGCAGTCAACTGTGGCACTGGGAACTGCATTCTTGCTGGTCGACTGCAGTCGACAGCGGCACTTAGAGTGCATGAATGGGCTGTCGACTTTAGCACTGAAAGGGTTAAAATGTCTGTCTGATTGTGTATCTGTCTCTATCCACGTTTCTATTTCCCTATCTGCATTTATTTCTGTCTGTCTGTCCCTCTGTCTGTCCTTCTGTGTCCCTCCGTCGGCTGTGTGTTTTTGATGGTGTTGTACAGAGTCAGCCTATCACTGCTGGTACACGGGTTACCAGGCAACTAGAGTCGATTTCACAGCAGCTAAGCCAGCAAGCTACATGCATTGCTGACATCACCGCACGCAGCTCAGCAGTAGAGGACCAACTCAGCACCATCACACAGCGTCTTGTCGACACTCAGCTGGAAACCACTGCTATCCGTGATCAACTGCAGACTACGAGCGAG